CGTGCGTGCGTGCGTGCGTGCGTGCGTGCGTGCGTGCGTGCGTGCGTGCGTGCGTGCGTGCGTGCGTGCGTGCATCTATTTGTCTGTTCGTCCATGTGTAAGCTGTGCCAGTGACACAGACAGCCTCATACCTTTGCCCATGCACTTTCTGTTGCATTTCACCTAATCACAATAAAGTCGATCACAAAAATATTTAAAATAGCAATCATAGAACATCTTGAAATCTATGTTGAACATTTGCAATTGATGACAAGTATCAATAGAATAGTATTTGTATTTTTCAGCGTTTAATGTTGTGATCATAATTGCTTTTTACCAGTTTATAGGTATAGCATATTACAGTTGCCAACTAGTGGAAAAATCACTGCAAAATTCATCTGTTGGAACTAAATCTGTGTTTAGTCAACTTGTGTCTGGTAAATGTGCTTTTTAGAATATTGTAGTGCCTGCTGCACTAAAATAGAGGGCATGACAAGCAATCAATGTAAAGAAAACCACAGCATAAAGTACAGAATAATTTAACACAGGCACTAACCTGCATTAATGGGGGGAACAAAGTAAAGGAGGCCCCACGAAGGAGGGCAGCGGCACTTCTGAGCAACAGAAACAAAATACATCATATGTCGAATGAAAAACCATTTTGCCAAGTGCTGCATGCAAACACAGAGTGCCAAAATCTACTCCACTACTAACAAACGGCCAAAGAGCAAACAGCATACGTGAAGTGAATCAAATAGCAGAGAGTGACATCACAGCTGAAGAGTATGAGTTGAAGGAGATGACACTCGTCAGTCTGACATCACAATGCTCTACACAGCTGTAAATAATGAAAATAATCAATGCAGCTATAGTGAAATATACAGATATACCATAGAGAATAATAGTGCCTCGTTAGAAATTATGATATATACTACGGCAAGTGGCAATGTTGTAAATAGATAGAAAACAGCAAAGTTTTCTTAGAAACCAAAGCTGGTACAAGGCTCAACTACACAGTCAAACAGGAATGGTACTGCTACACATCAGACAGATGGTCACCATTGGATGAAGTATTCATGTCTAAAATGTTCATAGATATTTTGAAAAAAGAGGACATTGATGTCTCCTGAGGCATTCAACCACCAGCGTACAGCTATGCCTGGGCAAAATCCTGAACATTTTCATATCTGATATCTGAAGTGATACGGTGCTCATGTTAGATGAATTGACAAGGATGTAACTGATTTCATTGGGAGCAATAAAAACTACTGTTTATCTCAGCCATCTTGGGGAGGGAGGGAGGCTGAACTCTAGTGTCATTACTTGACAATATGTGGCCTTAGCTTACTATACTGGTTGAACATGACAGGCTATTTATAGATATCACAACAGTATCCTTTATCATTCTGTTTATATTATTTCAAAGTAGTGTAGGTATGCTAGAAGCCAGCTGCAGGTAGATCTTTACCTACAGGCAATCACACATCCCCATAGATACACTCCATTTCATCTCAGGCAGAGGGTGGAGAGTGCTTGAAAAATCGTTGGCATGATCAAAAGACTAGGAACCAGCTCCAAGCAGGGCTCACAAGCCTCACGAATTTGGCGTGAAACTCACGCAATTCAGCACAAGCTCACGCTCTCGCGCGCATTTCTGATAGTCCCCCGAAAATCTCATGCAATTGCAAGAATCCAGTTTTTCTTCGTTGCGTGGAGTGGGTCTAGCCGAACTTTGCCGAAAAACGCGAGACACGAGGCACGGGAATCAGTTCAGATTGCTGCTGTGGGCATCAAATAGCACCCCATTTTTAAACAAATTTCCTACGGGGGGAGGAGGGACATCCCCCAAATCCCTCCACCCACCCCCTTCGCGCCTGCGGCGCGAAGGCTAAGCTTCGGCCTTAGATTTACTGATTCAAAATTAATCTCACTCATTTTTAGACATCACCTATATCTTTGGCATCGTCAAGATGAGCTATTGCCATGGGGCGTTGCTCGTTGTACGTCCGTCCGTCTGTCCGTCAACATTTGGCTACGGTCAACAATAACTTAAGAACTGTTTGACCCACATGTTTCAAATTGCATACAGTTGTTACTCCTATGGGATAAATTTAAACGTCCTATTTAGAGCACGCCAGTCGACCTACTTTGAGCCACCCCCATTTTTTGGCAAAAATGGAAATGGCTATAAGTCAGTTCAGGTTCAACGGATTTTGCTCATTTTTGGTATGTGAATGAATAAGGACTGGCCCCAAACATATCACACGGGTTTTTATTATTTTTATTATTATGCAAGTTAGGTAGATTTTGGCAATTTCACTATGCATTTCAGTGTCTGCCTACGGTCAACGATAACTCAAGAACCGTTTGACCCACATGTTTCAAATTGCATACAGTTGTTACTCCTATGGGAGAGATTTGAACATTCTATTTGGAGCACGCCAGTCGACCTACCTTCGAGCCACCCCCACTTTTTGGCAAAAATGAAAATGGCAACCTAGATTCATTCGATTTTGTTAAACTTACCTACCTACCTACCTAATCATACCTACGTGTAATATTGTGTTTTAGATTCTTAGTTACAGTAATTTGACTGGGATATTTTATTGCTTTTATTTACGCGATAATCGAAAACCAAAATGGCGATCATTTAGGCGTAGCGCCATCTCTCGCCCAGATTTCAGACTTTCAAATCTGAAACATTTATTTTCGCATCAAAACTAACCCTGAAACAAAACGGTGAAATTTCTATTAGTATAAAACAGGGAATAAGGACATTTGATCACATTTCGGTCCGTCATAAATGAAACGCTTGCCAAATTTTAAATATCATCTCCCTCTTTTATCACACCCAAGGTGAGCTATAGTGTCATTGACACTTTCATTAAAGCTACCCCTTGAGAGCCCTGTCCAAGAGTTAGACATTTGGAGATACCCGCAAAGGACAAATTTGAAAAGAGCAGTCATTTGCCAAATAACACCCTCTCGACACATTCTTAGGCGTACGTACGCACGCACATGCACACACACGCCAATGCACACACTCACGCACACGCACACATACATGCACGCACGCACGCACACACACATGCATACGCGCGCACGCACGCACACGATAACACACCCAATGCACACGCACACATACACGCACAGACGCACATACACGCGCCAATGCACACGCGCACACACACACATAACACACGCACGCACGCTCACACGCACGCACGCACGCACACACACACACACACAAGCGTGCATACAATTTGCATGCACACTTACAGTTAATTATAACTGTATGAAACTATGTATATATTACAGTTGAGTAATAGTATTATTTGACATAATTCTAACTATAAATTCAATGACTTCCATAATTTTGTCAGATTTGAAGGAGGCCATGATCATCTCAGAACTAGGTTCAAGCAGAGATGTAGCACATATGGACAAAGTATTCAGGAATCTGAGGAATGTGGGAAGCGGGTGCAGAGGGTTAGTTCATGACCATACATATGTTATCCGTATGAACAACTCTGTGGCTTAGCAATTTGATACATAAAAATACCACCTTGTAAAATCAGGAATTCGTGTGTAATATACACCTAAAGCTACAGCAATTTATTTGGGTCTAACATGAAGCTGCAGATCGAGCTTTTTTATCAAATTTTGTTTGCTTAATTGTGGCAGGATGAGATGTCTTGGATCGGCAGCTCTCAACATGTGCTTAGTTGCAAAAGGCATTTCTCATTCATACTATGAATATGGGATCCATTGCTGGGATATTGCAGCTGGTGCTCTAATTGTCAGGGAAGCAGGAGGAGTTGTCCTAGATCCTAATGGTAAGTAAAGCTAATGGTATGTAAAGCTACAGCTTATAGATAGTAATGGTGATATTTATGTAGAGATATATATAGGCTTTGGGTTGGTCATCACAAGTCACTCCCATATTAGTTGCAGCACAGCACATGCATTAAGCATATTAATTAAGCAGAAAGGTTACTAAACCCCTACTCTCACATTACGTTGGCACTAATACTGCAGTGCTCAGCACTTATCCATTCAGCCATACTATTATTTTATATTGAGGCTTCATAAGTATTAATCGTGAAACTATATTAAACACAAACTCGTGGAGTGTGTGTAGTGGGTGGTAGAGGAGAAACGAAACAGCACAAGAGAGGAGCAGGTAAACGCCGGGGGTAATGTGGACGAGAGTGTAATTTAAAGGAAGAAAGCGGAGAAGGTAGAGAAACTACAGGATATAGTGTAGGTAGGTAGTTAGAAAATATTTGAAAGGAGAAGCTAGATGAGAGGGATAAAGTTAGTTAGGCTATGCTGGGAAAAGGACAAGAGTGAGAGGTGGAGGCAATACTGGCTATTCTGGTTAGGGTGCAGTCTGACTGGAAGGTGTGTGCTGTCACACACCTGCCAACCTATTCGAATTTTCAAATTTCACTAGTATTTTATTGTATCAGCTAATTTGTATTATTGGTTTCAATGTTGTCTCCTGGCTTTGACCTAACAACCTGCATCCTAGAATGTTGATTCCACATCGTGATGATTAAATGATTTCATGGTTTGCAAGTAAAACGAAACGTACAAGCAAGTTGAAGCAATTATCAGTATCGAGGTTTATTGCAATAATTTTAAAGTAATGATTTTAAGCAATTCAATGTTCTCATATTTTTGTGACCACTACAATACTTACTGGTATTGCTTATGTAACAGCAAGTTTCTAAAGTAAAGCATCAATATTTTTACAAAAATAACGCGAATACATAATGATGCATCTTATTCCTTGTGAGACCATGTAGCTGTACTTTTCGTGGTAACTTGATTTTAGCAATAGAAATGTTGTACTTGTCTGGAACCGCTATGTCAGTTAGATGCACTTTTGTCAGGCGGTTGCTGATTTCAAGGGAATTTTCGTTACACAAACGAATGTGGCTGCATTATTTGCTCTTTTGTATACCATAACTGCATGAACCCATGGTAATTTGTATACTGATGTAATCAGTAACATGTTCGTTATTAGGTGATGTTGTGATATTAGTACTGTATTATAGTATAATATATACTATAAGCTAATGCCACCCATTGCCACATAAGTACGCTACAGGCTACCCTGATTTAAGAGCTCAGAACTACTGTCTCTCTCCCCAAGATGGCTGTGTGAGCTAAGCAGTATTAAACTGTTGCTCCTAATAAAATTACTTCAATCCTTACCTCCGTGGTCTAGCATGCGAATAATATCACTTCAGGTGAGGCTATATTTCACTATATAATTCTCGGTTGTGTAGTTATGGTTGAAACAATTCTTTTAAAATGGATTGTTTTCATATTCACCCAATTCATTTGAGGGCATACCACATTATGTATTACAGGGCTCGAATTAAGCGGCGAGAAGGGCAAGGCAATTTTTTTAGGGCACGTGAGAAATCGCCTTGAATTTTCTCTAAAATGGAAGGGCACAGAGGCAATTTTAAAAGGCACCAAGGCAACTTTCAAAATTTGAGAAGGGCACCAAAAAGCACTTTGTAAATAAAGAAACTCATAACAAATTAGTCAGCATCAACATCGTCTTGCTTTTAATGGACAAAACAATATCGACTATCGGTTTCAAGCTCATCATTGCAACTATACAGCACGCACGCGCACGTGTTATGTTGATTCGACTAAAAACGAAACTAGGGCAGTAGATTAAAGGGCACCGACGGCAATTACACAAAAGGGCAAGGCAGGTGACTGCCGTCGGTCGAGTTGGATTTTCAGGGGCAGTACGGCAATTGATAGGGGCACCGACGGCAATTGCCGTCGGTGCCGTCGGTTAATTCGAGCCCTGATGTATTAGTATAAAATGTATGATGATAATGAGAATAAAAACAATAATTAAAACGTAAAACGTCATGCTCTGCGACCACAACAATTTGAAGGAGTTTATCTCTTTGGTTACTCTCTCTCTCTCTCTCTCTCTCTCTCTCCCTTCCCCCTCCCTCCCTCCCTCCCTCCCTCTCTCTCTCTCTCTCTCTCTCTCTCTCTCTCTCTCTCTCCCTGGCAACATTTTCCATTGGTTTGCTTGATATATGTGGCTTGATACCGTGATGTCAATGAGCTACGTCACGGCTCTATCTAGCTGGTACATATCTTGAGTTAATTCCTATCCTTTCTCGTAACGTTTTTATTCTTTTCTCCATATTCTAATTTTATTCTTTGCCTTGTCCTTCTTCTCTCCTCATTTCTCTTTGGCCCCTTCCACACTGCTCTTCTTAATATATTCCCTTATAGCTAGATGGAATGCAACAGTATTGTCTAGAATTATATCAAATAAGAGCAAATTGTATGGTAATGTTCTCGTTAGAAATTGTGAAGCGGTATCTAAAACCGTATTTGTATATTCACAGGCGGACCACTAAACCTAATGTCCAGGAGAGTTCTGTGTGGATCTGATGTGAGTCTATGCTCCCAGATATCTAGTCGTCTCACCCACATAGATTTAGAGCACGACTGAGAACATTCCACGTTAAATTAAGGGGCTGCTTATATTTTAATGGCGTATATAAATTCGTATGTAGATTTGACTTAGGTTACGTTTTGCAATTTCCTTTTCCTGCTCTGCAGCATTGTGAAACTCTTTGGTATCCTGGTTTGTGTTCAGGAAGGAAGGACCCTCATTACTGTGTAAAATGAATCACTTTTATTTTGGATAGTGAATGAATTGGAAAACAATCGGTTTTATAAGTTTACAAACTATTATTCAGTGGTGGTATGTTAGTTACAGAGTTATGCTTGTTTGATCATTGAGCTGTGTTAATACATTTATTTAATTCTATTTTATTCTTTCAGTTGTGATATTGCACATTAATTTACATACTCGTCTTCCATAGATGATCATTCATATTGTCTGTATTATTTCCTGTACCTGTCTGAAGTGTTGATTAATTGGATTCAAGCAAAGAAACAAACACGCACGATTATGATTTATGACGCACGTTCGCAATCCTTCATTTCCTTTTTTATTATTCTTTTTTTACATAGATGGCAGCACCATACGTGTTTGAACACGACTTGTCCCCCATCCTTGACAAATTTAAGACTCGCCTATCAGCATAAATATAACTGACTATTTTAGCATAAAAATTATTTGGAGTCCTGTTATAGGATATAAAACAGTAAATAAACAGCAAACGTGTGCCTGCTATATTCAGATACGTGATATTTAAATGTTCAAACAGTCCCACAAAACAAGTGCATGTAGGTACGTGAAGCAAATATTTATATAGACTGGTACCTATCTTGAAATGTATACTAAGTTAATTAACCTAATATAGAGACAGTGTTCCGGTCTCGCGAGAAAAAAAATCGCGTGCTAGGTTTGTTGACATATGTAAACAAATCTCATTTGAAATGCAGATTTGTGCACATATTGGTGGAAAGAATGTTGTGCGAGTGTTCTATGACGTTAGTCTTACTATATACATATGGTGTTATGCGAGGAGCAACGTGTAGCGTCTTCTAATGATTATTATAGTGAATAGATTTGAAGATGCTTGTAGATAAAGTTGACATAATTTATTTTACTTTTTTTCACGTCATGGCGACATTGTGTTACTGACACGTTGGCGGTAGACAGCAGCACTACAATCTCAGTATTATACAGGGTGTTACATAAACATCAGATACATTACTGTATGTGACATTCCCTTCTTTGTAGATAGTTCCATGGAGTACCTAAGATGCATGTGCTAATTACCACACTAAACAGGTCAATTATAAAACCTTTCAATATTGAGGTTCAAACGGTATGATTAACTGGAAACACACAAATCTGGCTTTGAAGATTAAACGATTTGTCAAAACTAACCAATTTCAATAATCAGTGCTGAGGTAATTAATTAATTACCAAATACTCAATTACGCTGCAACGCAAAGACCAAACTTGGTCTGATTATTCAATGATATGATGAACTTTAGTAAACACACTAAACTGCAACACAAAGACATTGTTCAGTCTCCATAGTCAATCTGTAAAGTCTTATGAACACACAACACACAGTTGTAAACAAAGGCTTGGCTTGCTGCCAGTTTTCACAGGTTGAGTTTTACTACAGGTTTTCTGACTCTGGTTGACCTGCGAGTTTGTTGCTGATATAGGGCAACCTTTGGGGATGCTGTATGCATTGGAGCATTGTCTGATCTGACATCAGCAGATTTGGGTTTCACAATTTTGTCTATGTTATCCCTTTGGTGTCTAGGAACTTGGCATGACTCTAAATTGACTGTGGGTGCAGGAGAGTTATCAGATATCAGAATTTTCAAAATTCAGGTCCAATTCACCCCTGGGTGCCACGGGCACCATTGGCCTTGAGTTAGCATCATTTTCGATGCTGGAATCATGTGCATATGATTCTGGTATACCTGACAATTCTGGAATGAACAATAGTTTCTTGAAGAAGGAACTGTTTCTGGTTACACATCGTCCTTCCCCTTTGGCAGTGATCATGCTACCATTCTTGGACAGAATTGTCAGTGGAGTAGTTTCATATGGGGTGTTTCCTTTTGGTCATGTTACACGGGCGCTTGACCAAAACTGGATTACTGGTTTTCAGGTCGCTGTGTTTGACATAGCGTTTATTGCCTGCATGCTCTTTCATTTTCTCCTTTTCTGGGAGTCGCGCTGGCACACTATTTCTGCGACTGGGTCAGTTTCAGGTACTTGTGGCAGCTTGTTGCAGACTGCTCGCTTGAACAACAGGGTTGCTGGTGCAGCCCCAGTTGTGTCATGAGGAGAGGTTCTATAGTCTCTTAACCACGATTGCAGGTCTTCCAATTGGTTCCACGAGCTTTTGACACTGACATGTTTCTTATACAATCCCACCAGTCTCCACTTCACTGTTGGCACGATGCCAAAGCGTTGTGATTTTGCGGTGTTCAAATCCGAGGGTATCAGAGAATTTTGCAAACTCGTGGCCATCAAACGATGGACCATTATTGGATTTGAGTTTTGGATATCAAGCTTTGGAATCACATAGTGAGCATCGGTGGTGCGGATTCGCTTGATAAAGGGGAATCGCGAGTACCATCGATGAGAAGAAGTACATTTTCTCCTTCAGCATAAGCAAAGTCTAAACTTGTGTTCTCGAATGGTCCACCTGGTAGCGGTAACATTTGTAGCAGTTCGCGTTTTACCATGGGTGTTGCGATTTGGCATAGTAAACAAGACTTGACTTTCTGCTCAACCAGTTTGTCCATAAGCGGGAACCACACTTTCTCTCTCAATAGGCCCTTGGTTTTAGCAATACCAAAATACATGAGAACAACTAACTTCAAACTTTTAACTACAAATAAAAAAATGGTTGTTTTTGACACGAACAGAACTTAACGTAAAGTGATTATGCTAAATTCGGTTTGTAAAAAAAACAAAGAGGGAGAGGTCACCAGTACTTCACCTCGAAAATCATATCTTTACCATTGGATTGTTTAACCAACTGAGCTTAAAATGGCATGATTACCAGTTGAAACTTAATCATTTGCGAATTGTTCGTGTAGTCTGGTATAGCCTCTGAAACGGACTGGTAACCTGAGGATGTGCTCTGGGCATGTGCCCTGCTGACGTATGCACGATTTAAGCAGAGTGCTGCTTTTTCGATCAGGCAGACGATCAGGCGACACTTCACGGCTGAGCAGTTTTAAAGTCGCATCGCATCAGCCGCGGGGCATCACCGGGGTCTCGCCTTCATGCTGAGGCCACCGCCGCTAATCACGACACGTCTGCACCGGCTAATCTGGGGTGTTGAGTAGGGGTGTAACGATATACCGGTATATCGGTATATTGCAATATATTTTGAAAACTCGATATATCGCGATACAACTTCCGGATATCGATATTTTACGATACGGTGGTATAACAAGAAAGAAATTACTTGACACTTGCCTTTATGTCTATATTGTTAATGGGCTCGAAAATTATGCACTGGCGGTGTATATATTACGAAAGCACAATGCATGCACGACGCATACAGTATTACTGGTAAGCGGCCACTGCATGGAGCACTGCGCGGTACTACTGTGCGGGAAGAGTGGGGCAGACGTGTGTGCGAGGCACAGAGCACGGCAACTAGGGAGTCTATATATAGCCTATGCTCACCTGAGTGCCCGCGCGCGCGCGATACAAGCTGAAGCGAGCCCCCACTTTCAGTTTCAGTATCCAGTATTAGCCAATTATGCAGCAGGGGTATTGTGTATTCCAGCTACGTCAGTGCCTTTCGAGAGGGTATTCAGTACAGCGGGTGACATTGTTACGGCACAGAGGGCTGCACTGTCAGCGGAAAACATTGCCGTGCTTCTGTTTCTCAAGAAAAACATGAGAAATTAAATCATGTCATATAATACAATATATGATGATATTAAAACCATCAAATTGTTACTATATTATGCATGGTATACACTTCCCAATACGTATTGGAAAATATTGCAATACGGTTTTTGGTCGCAATACTCACCCCTAGTGTTGAGTTAATCCCCCAATCAGCCTCTCCAGCAACGGCAGCGGCAGCAGCGGCCATCTTAACCATCTAAATCGCTCAGCTCGCGGCAGTATTGACCGCCTGTGGTTGCTAGGGACAACGCAGTCGAATCAATGCCTATGCGTCTGTCGCCCGTCCCAATGATATAGTGATGCGGGGCTCGCCGCGTCACGTGTGGGGGGGGGAGTTCCTTCTTACAGGGTTGTTACACTTCTCCCCCAACTAAACTGATGTCCACCCTGTAGACATCAAATGCCAGCCTCCTTGCTGGCCGTCTACATGGGGGGGGGGGCGGTCGACGTCATGGCATTGTAATATGAACACGTAACATACACTAAATCCCTGAATACAATAATACATCTATACCTTACAGGTTTACTGGTGTGGTCGTCGACCACACCGTACAAGGCTACTTGCTATAAATATGTCCTGAAGTGACCTAAACGTCTATTGAATTCTGGCTAACACTGCCATTGTAGTAATTCGTAATGTTCGATGATGCTGATTCCTCAGCGCTCGCCCTCCGCCTCGTGTTCACCCTCCTCATGTCTGCCGGGGGAGGTGGGTGCTCACGACATAGCGGCCAAGAGGGCCGCTGTGGCGAGCGATTTCGCCATCCGGCATATGTGGGCAGGGTTGAATGTCGTTCGCGCCGGGTCGTCCTCCTCGCCGACGACGAACTCGTACATAATTGGGTCGGCGTTTGTGCCCGACCCGACGAAATGGCCGGCGTAATATCTGTCGGGGCATCCGATGTCCCATAGGTCATTGTCTGAGTCTTCGGCACTGGAGTCGCCGGTGGTGTCCGGCTCCGGGTAGGGGTAGGGGTTGCACGGCCTTGCCATGCCGTTGATGCGAGCCTGCGGCGGGGCGGGGAGCACGCTTTCTCCCGGCCTTGCGGCGCAGACTTCGCATATGCAGGCAGGCGCTGGCGCCTGCGGTGTAGACTTCGCATCTGCAGGTGGCGTTGGCGCCTGCGGCGTATACGCTGGTGGCGGTGGTGCAGGTGGCGCAGGTGCAGGCGGAGGTGCCGAGGGTGCAGATGGCGCAGGCGCAGTCAGCGTAGGCGCAGGCGGTGTTGGCGCCCGTCTACAGTGGAAGCGACGGCGCTGATGGTTGGGGTCTACTGGGCTGTTGCCCATCTTGGCCGTTGTTAGAGGGGTCCTGACAATGTTCAAGTGGCATGATAATACGTGGCACAGTATCATAGCTGGGACAGTATATAAAATGACTGCCCGGTTAGTGCCATAGCGGCGCTGCTGCATTTATAGAACGCGGTTGCATATAAGCCGCGGAATATGCAGAGTTACAAATAGGCCGCTTGAAACGGCGTCTAACAGATATATGCGTTTCAATGAAGCGCGTGTTACTTATAGTGCGCTTTACAAACATGCTAATACGCAGGGCTCGAATTAACCGACGGCAATTGCCGGCGGTGCCCCTATCAATCGCCGTACTGCCCCTGAAAATCCAACCCGACCGACGGCAGTGACCTGCCTTGCCCTTTTCTGTAATTGCCGCCGGTGCCTCTGGCTAGACTGGTTCGCGGCCGCACTGTTTTTCGCAGAGCGTGTACATTGTCTAGCAGTGCGTGAGGCTGGATACCACTGGTATTTAATTACCAGTCTACCTTTCGGCAAAAACAATAATATATAACGTGGCTTGCTGCCAACCGCTGCCAGTAGACGAACGATAAATCGTGCGCCTGTGTATGCCTGTGGTAAAACACAAATATTTAAATGCTGCACGTGGACTCGGCCCGCGCGCGATTTAAAGTGCGGGAAACAATGCTCGCTCAAGAATGGCCAGCTGTGATCTGTACGGTGTGTAGCTTGAGTAGAATTCATACGATGACAGAAAGTTTTTCATAACAATCGTCTGGGTCTGGGCTAGTGAAAGTTAGGTCAGGGCTAGTGGTTTTCCTCAGTTACTAGCCCGATGGTCTAGTGAAAGTTAGGTCAGGGCTAGTGGTTTTCCTCAGTTACTAGCCCGATGGTCTAGTGAAATAAAAAGTTAATGTTGAACCCTGTTACTGTAC